GTCAGGATTCTGAGGAGTTCTTGAGAAAGTTGTCATGCAGGATCAGCTCATAAAACTGAGCACAAAACATTGATCATTTGTGCATGTGGTTAGCGGTGCAAAATACTGAAGTGACTCGCGTTTCACGACATCTGAGAATTTTGACTCCAGTGTATTTCAGTACAAAGTGTTTTGATGTATTTTGCAGCTTATCGAGAGCTGTTGTAATATGTTAACACCGTACTGACAAAGTAACGCCGTAAAGACATGATATGATCGTCGCGGTTGTGGGAACATTAACAGCTAGACGAAACAACTACCTCATGACGTTGTCTGTAATCAACCGGTAGAATGAGATACTAACGGCTGGTGTTTACAAAGTAATGTGCTATAACACTATTGATGAAACAGCTGCTGGCTTCTTCGCCAGCTGATTGAAAACGAACGAGCCATTCGATAAAGTCACTAAGCTTGCAAGCTCTCTAAAATTGTTACAGTGTGCAGCCGAAGTGTTAGATTCATGCACAGTCAAACGTTGTTCCTGTTCGCCCTGTATGTTCAATGGACGATAATGTTTGAAGGAAAATAAACTTTTCGAATACACTTCCGAATAAACATTAGAGAAAACAAAACGTTCCGGTCGGAAGCATTTAAGACCAGTTTATGAATTTGTTTGGTACCTCTGGCTCATTTAGTTTAGAAAGCGGTGTGCAACTACATCATATGAGTGGCTGGAAATTTTACAAACCTGTTCCGCACCGAAATCCGCACGTCCTTTTAGAGAACATATTTTAGACAGTGGTTCTTGATACAGGAAGATTAAGGCTATTTCAATCACACGAAGCCGCCAAAAAGAACACTTGCAGAATGATACTCTCCTCCAAGTCATTCGACCCTAGACTCGTACAATAGGCCTCGTGGTTCTCAGAGTCGCGTGACCAACTTTCTTGTAACGATCCCACTTATTTGTTTTCTGATTAAAATTATTTTTTGCGTGCTAAACTGAGGAACTGACTTAAAAATTGTCAATGCTGTTTTAAAAGGGGCAAAGACTATTTATTAGAAGTATTTTTCGTTGTGTTGAAGTCACCGACTTATAGGGCTGAAGTACCCAGTTTAATATTTCACAATAACGTTGAATACAATATGTTCGCCATCGAGATCCATATCTCAGTTCAGTAAATGTAGCGGTTAGCAGTTTGTGCTGACATCGCGTGAGAATAACCGTAAACTCAAAGCCGCAATTTCTCATTAGCAATACGCGTGTGTACCATGCATCAACATACTTTTGTTGGTGGCATGTTTTTCTTAACATGGAGTAAGGTGTTGTTCGTGTGTCCGTTCTTCTGGGCTGGTTCTATCATTTTCAAACTATATGTTCACTCTCAGGCTACCTTCAGTCCCGACAGAAACGCATGGAAATAATTCCAGATGTCTGATCGGATCACGGTATAGTAAATATTGTAAAAGACTATCCAAATTGCATGTAGGGAAATAAATGGTAGCAAGAAGCTAGGAGGTGACACTTTTAGCTCCGTTCTTTTGGAGCCTAGATTAGTAGAATCTTATGATGTTAACCTTGCCTGCATTTTCAACCAATTGTTCTCCCTATGCTGGATTCAAACATTCTAACAAGCTAGAAATATCTTCCTTGAACTTCAAACGTTGTGTTTTCTTAAGTAGTGGTGCATGTAGTTTTTTTTCTGATGAGAGTTATTTTCATGGATTTATATAGATGACGTTTTAGTGTGTTCAATATTGTAGCACTACCATCAGCCCTTTGTTTTATGTGGTTTCTAGCAAAAGAGCTGTCTTACGTTGTCCGCCTCTTAGCAAAAGAGCTGATTATGTTGCTTGCCTGCTGTCTCTGCTTCATTCTAAAGGTTTTGTTTAGCTCTATATTCGCTCTGACCAAACAAATCAACCTACACGAACCCAGTCAGTTGGTTTGGCTAACTGATCCTTTCTGGAACTTTTGTTTCGGTTTATTCCTTTATCCGACTTCTCTTGCTTTTCAAATTTTGTTTTTCTAGTTCAGAAAGTTGCCTTTTAAACCCACTCACATGGGCAAGGAATCAACCAAAAGCCACCTACAAATTTGTCGTCAATCTTTCGCCCTCGTTGCAATATCACTTTCTGTTTTTTTGTATCGTATATTTTCCGCTTTTTTTTTTGTCGTGAACCCTCCCGCCTCTGTCTTAGAAACGAATTTTCGATTATCTGAGACCTGTACTCCCTTCTGTTCTTACTGGTTTTCCATTTATTTTTTTCAGTTTTCGTCTGGTAATGTTAGTTGCTTTGGTTCTAATAAACTGGCTTGTGTATGCGTCGGTTGGTGGCTTAGTCGCGGCTGGGGAACAGCTGCGTGGCGATTGTAAATCGTGGGCGCCCTCGAAGTCGACTTGAATTTATTATAAATTCATCAAGATGGTATTAGGTTCATGGTTTTGTACATGTAGTTATGCCTTGAATGCATGTATAACAGAAGTTATTATGGAGTTAGAAGACTGTTTTCTTGAAAAAAAACCTTACCATAGTTTGAGGTCGTAAACCCCCCTTCTCCCCCTGGACATTATGGGCGTGACAGGGAGTTTGAGTGGAACTATTTTTTCCTTTTTCGATGTTCACTTCTTTAAGCGTTGAGCAACCTTGTTATTGGAAAGGTCTCCGTTAGGATTCAGCCTCAAAAAGAGGATTATGAACGATAAAAAAGCAATATTTAGCGGTTTTTAGTCGAAGACACAAGATCTCCACATTTACACCCACGCACGTTAGTTGGATCGGACTATGGCTCAAAGAGTGATGTAAAAGAAGTTCTACCTATCGAGAAATTTCGCTTTGAAGTAATTACCCGGAAGAAATCGCTTCTAGTGAGGCTCTGAACGATGTCCTCGCAATTTTGTTGCTTGCAGCTAGAAAGCGAGGGTTGTTTTAGAGATGGCTTGAAACACTGTGTGGGCGACCTCTGCATATATTTCTCAAACTGCCTTCAAAACAGTTATTCTCTAGAAATTAACTTTGCGCAGAAGTGTCCGCTCTTGTGGCTTTCTTCTCCTCATAGATTAGAGTGTATACGGATAAGACTTCTTATTTTCAAACAATCGTATTAGAACTCTCGAAGGGCAGGGAAAAAATGAAGTGAACTTCCTTAAAAACAGCACATGCAGACCGTCACACTTAGTCAAGCAACTGCTATATATACAACTGATCTCTGTAGTAAAACGTTTCCGATTCACCGCCGCTCTGAATTCTAGAAACTGTTTTCAGTTACTACGTTGGTGCTATAGGAATGCCCTACTTTATGTTAAGTTTCTATTTACACAGCAACTGAACTAATTCTATAGGGACAAATTATATACGAGTGAAGTGCGCGCGATGGTCACTCATGCGAAGAAGGACCGCTTTAAACTTTGTAAATTACATTCGAACTGTATCAGCTTAAGGGAAACAGAGAATTCTCATGCACAGATGAAGAGAGTCAAGATATTTTATAGCTTCACTCCAGAACCATGCTTGTTTCTATTCTCACATAAAAACACACAGTTGACCCACCGTTCGTGTTATCTTATAAAAAATAGTTACCTTCAAATGCTGGAAAACGTGGATAAGCCATTGCTAACATGCCCAATTAGAATCCTGTGAGGCTCTCACCGTCTAGGTTCTTAGCTTCAGTGCTTGGAAAAACGAGTTGAAATTTTCCTAAGTGTTTTCCGCTACAGAGCTGTGTCCCCTCGCTAGGCAAATACCAAGAGAAATGAGCCACCGATAACCCGTGTGCACCGTTTTGGTGATGTAACCAATTATGCATATAATCGTAGGCGTTACGGCTCGTTGAACATTCGTAATGACGAGCGACAGAACTGCGTGATACGAGCGTGGGAGGACAACATTATGCCATAACAAAGCCATGACAACCATTTCCGAATAAATACGAACCAATCCCGACGGGATGTCGAGAAGTGCCGTACGTTTTTTTTAGAGACTTATTTGGTGGTGTTGATGTAAAGTCGCTCTCGTCACGGTATTGGATTCCGTCTAGAAAGGGTTATTTAAAGCGCTGGCACAAAAGGATTAAAATGATCGCCTTTGCAATTGTATTTTCTAATTTTACAAAGGGTCGATCAAAGCTTTTATTTCGTAATGCAAAAATGTTTTCTTCACAAAATATAGGACGGATGCGTGGGTAGTCACCGATCACGTGGTTAAAGAGTTTCTCAAGAAAGGCGTTGACCTCACTACTAAATTATAGAAAACCGGAAGTTAGACCGGAAGTGTCCGGAAACATTTGTCGCGTATAAATTGACCTTTGTATCAAACGCTGCAGTTAAAGTTAATTGACTTAACGTTGACAGCTAAATAGTCTCTAATTCCGACTTCAAGTTAACTGATAGAAAGAGAAGTACTTGCTATGATTTAAAAGGAAAAACCTTACATAGCGCTCTCATTGTTCATCATATTTCCACGTTATCTTTTATCGTGGACGTTAAACTTGATGAGCGTTAAGTTCATAGGTCACGTAAGCAAGGACAGTAATACAAATGAGCCGCTACGGGGGCCTTTACATGCTACCATAATTCTGCCGCGTTTATTTCCATCCAGATTTTTGCAGGACCCTTTCAGCAGACATAATCTACACGAGGCAATCAGACTTCTTCACCGGGATTATTTAGCGCCCACGGTTCTGTGGAAGGCAAAAATCACCTGCTGTGCTTTTGTGGACAATTTTGAAAAGTAGTGCTTGATTCAACGATGCAAAGTGCACCTCCTTTATTTACAGCTTATTTGGTTGACATATTCTGGACGCTTGCCTCTTCTTGCTTGTCACCAGCCGTGTGTTGTCGACGTGTGACGGCCAAAAATGTTCTCTCTGCCCACGCGTCAGGGCGTGTGCCAGAGGTTATTTTTCTCGCCAACATTTTCCTTTTGAAACAAACTGACAACGGAACTTCAAGTTTTTAGTCTGTGTGTCACTCTTCTGGAGGAATAAGGAACGCGTTTTTTTTCCTTTTTTCCTTTTTTTCCCTCCGCCCTGTTGGCTTGAAAAGGTTTTCTATGTCATTGCTCGTTTCGCACCAGTAACACCTTGTGAACCGGGTAATGTTGCATGATTTTAGCCAGCTCATCTTTATGCAAGAGTACGTGCCCACAAGTAGTTTACAGTTAGAGAAGTGATCTAATAAGATGAGATGGAACGATAAACAATGATAACAAAATAAAGCCAGTTCATCTTTATTAGATAACTATTCCATGGGTATTCTAGAGTTCTTTTACATACTTTGTCTATTTCTTGCTAGATTATTCGTATACACATTACTTCAGGCATGCCCTGTATCATGGCTTCGTTTCACCGACTCGAGGCACTGTACCAGCAGTCAATTTTCTCCGTTCTCCTTAGCCGGCGTTACCTTCTAGAGAAATATTATCGTTTGTTTTTCTGTGTTCACGATAGGAATCTAGTGATTGCAGCCTTTGCGATCTCCTCCGCCCGTCACGATAATTGCGGTTGTTGATAGTATCTTTGTTTACTTCCGATTTGGAGGTCAGGAGTTGAGCTACAGCAATTGTTGAGTTTGTTGAGCAGCACGTATTACGTAACGTTTTTCCAAATTTGTGCACATCAACTTGAAATTCATTTCTGAGTTTTGTTTCCAATGTTACGAGACTGGAACCCGAATACTGGGAGGCGGAGACTACCTTTCTTTTGGCTCTCTTTAATGAAATGTTAGAAGTTATACATATAAAAGACAGAAACTCGTTAGACGTTCAGTCGTTAAAATAGAAAGTTTAATTTTACTTTTAAAACCCCATTCGTTGTAAACATAGTCCACAAAGGTGAGACTTTTCGTAAATGTTCTCCTTGAGGCAGAAGTTTCCATCGGAGCTATGGTTCAGTGACAAGCTTGCTTTTCGCAATTTTAGACTCGGTTTAAGTCGAAAAGCCAGTTAAGAGTATTGTTGACTGAATTAAGTCTATATTTAGCCGGACTTATGAATTAGTTATTAGCTTCCGTATTCCACTTGTGAAGTTATTTTGATCCACAATAGAGGATGAAATAGGTGACGCACCAAAGGTACAAGCCAAAAATAGTTCTCAGGCATTATCCTGGCAGTATAGCAAGGAACCTATGGGCCTTGTACAAGACTAAAAAACCTTGCATGTCTAGCAGATACAAATGGGAGGCGAAAGGGAAGCTGCTTCTCAAAAAGCTCACCTTTTGTGTGTCTGGTCTGTCCTCCGTCAATCCCACGCTCGGTGCATCAGGCCCACAAGTTTTGTTTCTTTAAAAACAATCCTACGGGTAATACACAATGATAAAATGGCCACCACTGCGAGAGAGCACATCATACCTGTCTCTATAGCATTTTTTCCCATTTTTATTTTGAAAGAACGCAAAAGGAGTTTTTTAAGCATATCAACACATTTTTTAAAATTATCCCCAGGAGAAACCGATAAGCACGGGCTGTCGGTGTGATGAACATAAGCAAACAGCGGAAGTTAAGAGGACTAGAAACTCTCTTTCGTTTGACTGATATGAAGGTTGATGCGCGTATTAATCCAAGCTTATCCGCATCCCCTCAGGCGTAGAACCAGTGTGGACCTAGCCATTTCATTATATAGAGGCGCCTGTTCCACTGTGACGCGACTAAGTCGAAAACGAATTTTATTGTTTTGTTTTCTTTATTTAACTTGTTTCAGTATAAATCCACTAGCGTTCTATCGCGAATGCCCTTCTCGAATGGCTACGCTACTCAACGTGATCTATCATTTCTGTTGTAGATAGTGGGTAGCGTAGAAGTGTGCGTGTGTTACCAAAAATGGGAACCGCTTCTTTGCGTTTTCGAGGTGTCTGTGAAGAGGATTTAGATAAGCTTTGAACGACTAGTAAGTTTATACTAAAACAATTAGATTATTCGCTCTCGATTTCTATGCGCGTAAGAAATCTCGAGCTCATAATCTAGTTGTTAAATAGAGAATGAATCGACGTCAATTTTGGTTTTAGAAAGACTCAAATTCCGTCGTAAAACTATGAGTATATCATTTACAAAAGGATTGTGTCAATGTTGCATTGTACTCTAGTATCTCGATCACCAATTTCTTTCCAGTTGCAATAGAATCGCTGAAATACCAGTAGAGATTACCTTTCTTTGTCTTCTATCCTGCAGAAGGGGTTCTGTTGAAAGTGATCATAAATTACTCCGTTTTGCTTTGAGATAAGGATGTGTAAACAACAGTGTAAGGTTTCTCCTCCCATTTAATCTTGAGTGTGTAAGAGAGAGCGAGGGAAAGTATTATATAACTAAAGTGAAACGATACTGAACAAAACCTACATTGTAGAACGTCACGTTTCCTTCTTTTCTTATACTGAAAACACTTCACCACTATATAGAGAGTTTCAATTAGGGCAGGTTCTGAAAATCTTTTCGTCTCAAGGGATATCCTGGAGGGCAGACTCAATCGGTGAACTATCAGCGACTCTCAATTAGCCATCACACTTTCTGTGCGACAGTTCATGAACAAAAACCTCTTTCTAAGTAACTAGCTCTTGTTTAATAGTAATCCATCTGATGTAAGCTTCTCAATTCCGTACTGAATTACGGTATTGCTTCCGAATCGCATACCTTCACGGAGGTCGTTTACAGATTGCTGTTAGATGCAATAACTCAGTTTTCTATGGTCTGGCTCGTCTTTCTAGAGCAGAGCGACGAAAACTAAAAAAAATTACTTAAAATGTATATGAACACTAGGAATGAGCTATCGTATACCTCTGACACAGTTCACTCTTTAAATCTTTTATAGTGTTTACTTGTGTTCCTTACCCTGCTGCTAATCTTCCGAAGGGAGGGAGATTAACGTAAGTTTAAACTTCCGCACCGAATCGTGTACCTCCACCGAGGACATGCTCTCTTAGTAAACATACGTGGGACAGAGCAAAAAATCAATCAGTGTGGGTGTCCAACAAGAGGGCTTTAAAACCGCTCTGTTTTATGGATTAGAATGTATACAGACTTCTCCATTTTATTTGGTCAACATACAGGTTTACGTGGCCATTCCCGCTTTTGCTTGCACAAAGAGGAACTGCATGTTCATTAGCGTAGCATTATTTTGGGTGCTGACTGTCCTGTCGCGCCCTTTATTAATTTTTTATTCTATGTGGCAAGTTCTTTCGCGATATATTCGGCGCTGTTTGCGGAGCACAGGAGCAGGGAAGAGTGCGAAGAAGTTCTTCGCACTCTTCGCACTCTCCTGTGCTTTGAGCTCGTCTGGTTACCCTTTCAGAAGCTGCTAGATTTGATTGAGGTTATTATCTCTTTTAATCGTCAATTTTAATCATCAAAACAGTCGAGCGAAGCCAAAGAAAGCGAGCAATGTCTCACTCAATTAAGTCAAAATTTCATTGCAGCCTTCGTTTCGATCTGTTATGTGACGACCTTAGTGGCCAATTTTGGTCACGCATTTTTCAGTATCTAAGCGAAGTACAGAGCATTGAAACGCAGTCTTGGCAAACAAACACTAAAAGAAGCAAAAACGTTTTGCTAATCCACTCTTAGTTAACAAAGCTGTAGAAACACTCCTACTACTCGTATTTCAGTTTTCACAGCGTTCCTCGTTCCTTAGAACATCCGATCGTGTTACCGTAATCGTTTACCTCTACTAAAGACGTGCTCCGTCGTAAAGTAGCTGAAAAAAAACCCGCTCCTGTGTAGTAGTGTACATGGCGAGATAACAAAAACAGGACAGTGTAGGCGTGAAATGAATGCGAGACTTCCCCTTTCTGTGATACGTATCACGAGGGTTTCAGAATTTTCCATTTTATTCAGTCAACATGTTGGCTTGTGAACCCAAAGGAATTGTATATTACAGGCATAATTTATTACGTGAGTCAGTGCTGGTTCTCCTATATACCATACGATATCTTATGCGACAAAATTCTTCCGCGATATTTTTGGTCGACTCTTAATCTCGCACAGTGGCAGGCGAAGCTAAAGGAAGAAGGAAGCTCAGTATCGAGGAAGTACGTTCTTGCCACCCCTCTTCGTTCTTGTGTTTGACCTTCAGCGTGCATGTGGCGCGCTCGATTGCGAGTAGTCACTCTTTTGGTAGTCAAACATGTGCGGGCGATATCCTTCTTACTTAGGTCTACCATTACGTGGCAAGCACAAAAGGAAACAAAAGAGCCACGATTAATTTACTCTTGGCTAACAAACCTGTGTAAACACTCGCCTACTGCTACTGTCTTAGTGTCCACGGCTTTTGTCGTTCTCTTTAGCATCCGTTGGTATTACCTCGTTAAACTATGGAAAAACGCGTGGCTCTTGAATGACAAGCGAATAATAACAGTAAAGGTTGAACACTCTACAGGTTAATTTCCATTAGCATTAGCTTTGCGATGTTGAGAAACATTTCGTTCCTTATAGATAATGATTTGTCAAAGAAAATTAGCATGTAAAGTTTCAAAATGTTTTTCCGTTTTCATGTCGAACAAAATTGCTATTAAACTGTTAAAGCAAAACGATGAGAAACAATAGAGAAGAAGTTGTAAAATCATCAGTTGAACATCATGGGTCCGTGAATTACACCCCTATCTTGGGAGCTTTAATATAATCGGAAGAAATTCAGTTTAGAATTAGAAGGTTTATTTAGCTGCAAACTAGATATAAACTCATAGGCCTATATTCGAAAGAGCATAGTATTAGAGAGATTTGTGCGTCTAGATTTGGGATGTTACATGCTTACCCGGAGGAAGCCTGTTCCAGGCTCTTGGTCAGGGGGAAGTTGGCAGGTGAAAGAAAAACAACGGTATGGGGGTAGCTGAAAGTGAAAAAGGCCGCCTTTAATAGAATGGGGGTGGGGGAGCTTATGACGGAAAGTTTATGCATGGTACTTGACACTAAAGCACAAATGAGCTTATGATCTGTAATTTTCTTTTGTGTTATTAAAATTTTTTGTCTACTATTTTACGTGATTATCAACTTAGTGTACAAATGATATTATCTCCTTGCGCCTCGTAGCCTGTTATGATAGGAGAATCCTTTTTTACAATATATGCTCTATTAGAATAAGCGATTCAGTTTCTGGTGGAACTGCAAAACAAATCAGTTCTGAATATTGAAAGGTCAAACTGCACGACTAACTGGGCAAGGAACTTGAACCCGATTTATTGAATGCATTTTGTGTGACGTGGGTTTAAAAACTCAAATTCTTACAAAGAAAGTATTATTAGCGCTTTCGTCACCCAGAAATTTTTCGGTTTTTGAAAGACAATTATCCACACATACCCAAACCCATACCATACCCATACCTAAAGAGCCAAAACTGTACAAAGTTTCAATAACTCTTTCACTGTTTGGAGTCAATTCGTATCCCACAAGATGCCTTCTCAGGAGCCAAAATGTAAAAAGTGACGACAACAAGGATCCCCCTATAACCTCATTTACTCGGGACAAGCAATTGTCTGAATATTTCTGGGGCTGTCCCGCATTAACCTTAAAATGGCATTATTTCTTCTATGCGAAAAACTAAAAGTCAAAATGGATAACTCTTGTTCACATTTAGTTGAAACGCGTTGTATTTTATTTAACTGTTATTAACCGAGCAGGAGGTCTGTATGGGAGAGGTCATGAGTACAGACCGAACGCAGTGAGGTCTGTACACACGACCGAGGTCAAGATTGTTCCATACAGACCGTGATTCGCTCCTATGGTTGAAGGCGCTACTTATTTTAAAGATAAGCCCACCAGGGATCAAACGTTGTCAGATTTATTTGAACTAGAGTTTACACGGCTCGTTGCGTCCGTGGTTACATCGTAGTCAACTGAAATTGAAATAATTACGAGATAAAATACTATTTACAACATTCTAAATCGAAGCGACAAACGATTTTGAAACTTACAATTTGTGTTCCTGAGTGTCAGATCCCTTTGATCGTTATCTTGATGTTTATGCTTACGACTGTTGATGACTTGGCTTCGAATGTCCGTTACAGGATAAATTTTCCCTTTTAAAACTCAAGTCACATGACCTGTTTTTCCCGCCACGCGTAGTCGAGGCGATTTCGCAATTACCGACGATAATTGATTCTAATTTTTTTTACACGCGATTGAACATGCAAATCAGACTGACTAAGCTCGGTTAATAATTACGGTGTTTATTATATGGTAAACAAGAAAAAATCAATTCGTTTGATTAGCTGGTTTGTATTAGTTAACATTTTACTTGCGAACGGCGATGAGCAGAACTTAGATCTGCTAAAGTTTACTCGTCCTCTGTACACTTTTTTCTCATCAGGTTTTTTGTCACTTCCTCTACTATTTTTAGAAGAAAATAGTCAATATTTTTATATTTTTTGTATTCTACTTGGCAATGTTTTCATCGCAAAGTGTAACCGGTCTCGACGGCGGTCAATATCGATTTCAGCCAATCAAATTCGTGGATTCGGTAGTTCCCAGTCCTTGTGAGACACAGCCACATAATAACGTATAATTAAACAACGCCCGACACGCTTTTTCGAAGGAGGTATCCTAGAACATACCTGCCGATTTTCAGCCAATTCCATCGGAAGACGCGCGTAAACGAACTAAAAATGTTCATC